GCCATCTATCTTTTTAATATCCTGAAGAACATAAAACTCACCTCTGCCGGTCCTTTCGACATATCTGATCGTATGCTCCTACTCTGTCTTCCACAATGTCTCAATCCTCTCTTTCACATTCTTAACTATACTCTATCCTCCAACACTTTTTGCTCTGCTTGGAAGCAATCTATAATTCCAATTCCTAAAAATAGTAACCCCTCTTCCTCCTCCTCTTTTCGATCAATTTCTATCTCTCCTTTTTTCTCTAAATTGCTTGAGCGTATTTGTTTCAATTAATTGAATGACTTTTTCAGAAAGTACAATTCGATTCCTGATTGTCAGTCTGGCTTTTGCTGTTCTCATAGTATTACTACTGAGCTACTTCACTTATCTGATACTGTGTTACGCGGATTCGATTCAGGATTATTAACCTTGCTTATTGTTCTTGCTTTTTGAAGGCGTTTGATACAGTTGATCACAAATTGCTTCTCTTAAAGCTTCTTTCCTCTGGCATATTTCCTTACCCGCTTTATTATTCTTATGTTCCTTTCTTACTAATCGCTTCCAACATGTCCTTCTTTATAATCCTTCTCCTGCATTCTCTTCCCTTTGCAATATTCCTTCCAGTGTCACCCAATGTTTTATCCTTGGTCCTTTACTGTTTACAATATTGCATTTTTATCACTTTTCGCATAAATTTTTGAACGTTACGGCAGTTCTGTTGACAGTTCTGGATAGCAAGACTTCAAGAATTCTATCAAAAGTTATTATCATTTAAAGTGCTAGAACTAATGGTTTAGAAGATATTGTGAGTTTTTGTTCTGCGTTTTGTTGAAGTTGGCACCCCAAATTTTTAATTTTCAATTTTTTGTGTCAATTCGCCGGAACTATTTTTCATTTTGGGCAGGAACTCTTCGGGATGCATTCGAAACTGACGAAAATTTCATTGTTGAAAAATGAGGTGCCAATGTCACATAGGTAAGCTGAATGGTTATGAAAACTTATTATAAAAAACTACTGTTTAGCTTTAGTTGCAACAACTACAAAATAGTTTATTTAACTATATGTACATTAATTTTATATATGGAACTTGTGTATAGAGTTCGACCGAAATCACCTCCGGTCGAAACTGAAAACGAATATTTGGTTGTCATTTAATTTCGATCGAAAACGAAACCGAAATTTAGATGAGTCTTATTGAGAGAGAGGGGGGGAGGGAAAGAGAGAGAGAGTGGGAGAGGGAGAGGGGGAGGGAGAGGAAGAGAGAGGGAGGGAGAGGGAGGGAGGGAGAGGGAGGGAGGGAGAGAGATCACTTTCCTTACTATCCTATCTCTCTTCGTTTAATATTCTCCTCGACTACCTCACAAATCCCTCTCTCTCCCTCTATTAAGATACTCGGAATCCATTTTGACTGCTCCTGATCTTTTAGTAAACACATCGTAGTGAAATGTCGCGCAGCCTTCTTACGTCTCCGCCTTTTATATCCATTTCGTCACATCCTATCAACTTCACAAAAACTCCTAGTATCCCAAATGTTTTTCTAATTAATGCTAATTTCCAAAGAACTGGAAAGGATACGGACAGGAGTCAAGCGCAGAAGACGTCGCGCAAATAATACATTATATCTATGAAGTGTGAAACTTCTAACATAAATAAACTGTGAATAAAAAATTATCCTATCACGGTAAACTTCCTTACCTCGAGAATTTAAATACCAGAATTAAACCCAAAAAGAGTAAAAGAGAAAGAAAAAACAAAAATGAACGAAAAAAAGAAAATAATGGAAATATTGAAATAAAGAATATGAAAAACTAATTTATCAAAAACCTTAAGATTATAATTAATTATCCCGAAAATAAGGACGCTCACCTTAATCATAAATTTTTCATTTGTAAGCTTCAATAATACTAACTAAAACTAAAAGTGATCACTATTGATTGGCCAAAATATCGAGAACTGGTTTTTGAATAATTCACAGTAATGTTTGCGATATAGTTTGTGATCATAATTAATTGTAATCTTAAGGTTTTTGATAAATTAGTTTTTCATATTCTCTATTTCGATATTTCCATTATTTCCTAATTTTCATTCATTTTTCTTCTTTTTTCTCTTATATATAAATATTGTACAAGAAGACATAAATAAGATAGTACGCGTAAAATTATAGAAAAAAAACAGAGACGATAAAGATAACAGTATTTATGTAGAAGATACGGAGAACAATTAAAGTAAAATAAAATAATATAGATAAATTAAACGCGGTTGAGCTTAAAGCGTTGATACGAATTAAATAGTGGCAGAGCGGAACGAAGAAAATAAAGGGGAAAAGCGGATAGAAGAGGGTAGTATGTTGTAAAATTTTGTGGCAGTAAGGAAAACGCTGATACATCTCTTGAGTCAACCGGACCGCAGAAAACAAGGGGAGATATAATCATACTTACATACGTTAAAAAAATAAAAAAAACATGAATTCTGTATCCGCTGAACTCGGGTAAGCAATTGTTGAGACAATGGTATGTAGACAGCATAGTCGAACAAGGAAATTACAAGTCAGTTCGTACACAGTAACAAGTCATTCTGGCGTGATTTTTTATTACTTTCCAACTTTCATTTTCATGGAATTGATTAACGTTTCAATGTAAAATTTTTCATTTATAAGCTTCAATAATACTAGGTAAAACTAAAAGTGATTCATTGTGTCTGATACTGACTGGTCAAAATATCGAGAACCGCTTTTTGAATAATTTATAGTAATGTTTGCGATATAGTTTGTGATTTGTGATCAAGGTAAGCGTCCTTATTTTCGCTAATTAATTATAATCTTAAGGTTTTTGATAAATTAGTTTTTCATATTCTCTACTTCATTCTTTGATTTATAAGGAGTCTTGATTAGTTTGATTTATTATACGAATAAATACCTTTTTTGAAACTCGTGTAACCTACTATTTTTTTTTAAATCATCTTAAGAGAACTAGGCTAAACTACATTTGAAAATATTATAAATTTAAAAAGTTATAATTAAGTAAAAATACTCATTTTTCCGAAGCTAACACGTTTATTACTTTTTTTTAGTGTTAAAATTATATTTTTTACGACGAGTCATTGTTCCATTTTTCTTAAAGAATGAAATTATAAACTGTAATTTTTTTCAGCCAATGAAACCAATACTATTGATTTGATAACATTTCAGAAATGGTTCGGGTCATTTTAATCCAGGGTAAACATCGTGTGGCTTTTTTGAAGTGTGACTACGAATAGAATATTTCTGCTTCATAAAGACTGCTAATAGATGCTGCGAAAAAGCAGTTGCGTAATTGACAATGATGCGGTCATGCAGTTCATCTGAAATAAAAAAGTTAAGAATATTTATACACTATATACTTATGGCTATTATCCAATAGGATTTTTTTAATTAAACGTTTCCTTTATTTTTTATTAACAATAAAAGGCCTCGTTTTTACGCGAAATTTCAAAATTTTTTTCAATAACCTGTCATTTTGTCATTATTTGGGATATATTTATTTTTCCCTACGTCAATTGACATAGTTTATAAATAATCTTGACTTGTTCATTTCATATGAATTACTTGACCGAATCACTATTAACCACAAAGCGACTGTTTTTTCGCGTCTATTAGTGGTCCTTATATAATAGAAATATTGATTTTATACAAAATTAAAAAACTTTATTCTAATTAAAAATATGCCTAATAATATACCTTTCAAGTTTTAAAAACATTTATTGCTTATTTCCTTTGTAAAAAATTTCCAAAAATACCTTTTATATTTTGAGTCATTACAGTATTTTCCTTCTTTAAAATCCAATAAACAATTCTTTAATCCACTTTTTTGGTACTTTTCTTTTCAATTTATTTGTCTTCCGCGGAAGAAGTCCTCACGCTTCAATGACGGGGGAGGCCGGCGCAAAAATATGATCTCTGACCGCGAAAGTGGAGGTCATTATCCCTTATCGCGATACGATCAATATTATCGACCCTGAGAACACGATGCTAGGAAGTGCGACTTGCGCGTGACAGTTCCTATGGAAACCCGCGATCGAATTCGCACCCCCGTCTCTTGGACTTCTTCGATACCCGCTATCACGCGCGATCCCCGCAGTAGCACAAATATTGACGCGGTGAAAGGCCGCAAAACTTTGCGAGCCGAAGAACGGCTATGTTCCGGAGGACAAGATTTCATCGTCGGAGGAATTTCGGATTGTCTTTTAACTATTGAAAAGAGAGAAGAACGCTCTCGAGATTCCATTCAAAAATCTTCGTGACAATGGAATGTTCCGCATGGAAGGAAATCGGTTGATAGTAGAAACTGAATCGCGGCTCATCATCAAGACGATTTTTGACCGGCCGAGAGGTGTGCAAAAATGTTAAATGAAGTAGCCTACCTCGATTTTATTCGATATCAATAGAATTTTATTTTAAAAAATCATAAGGGGTAAAATAAGAAATCATTTTCTAAAATATCAGTTAAATTATAGTAGATTTTTTAGATATTTAATAATAAAATTTTTTATGACAGAATTATAATTCTGATAAATTTAATAAATTGACGTTAAAACTTCAGATTTTGCATGATACACCTTTTTTATGAGTAGTTTCGATATTCACTCCTTCAAGTATAAAGACTTAGTTTACATCAGGCACAGTTACTCATTAGTAACTTTCTGAATTAGCTTAATTTCAGTGATACGTGTAAACATATACATGATATGAGTATTTAATTAATCATTTTGAATGCACATTGTATCAATTTAGTACATCATTCTTTCAATACATCAATGAAATTAAAATAGTTTAGTAGAAAGTTACTAATTAGTACGTATATCAAATGTACGATGTAAACTAGGTCAAAGATGTACTTCAAGACGTCACAATATGATTTGTATTAAAGTCTCACGATAAAGATTCGAATTGCGGAAGTGTGCGAACAAATTTATAGAAATTTACATGATTTGTTGAATAAATGACACGGGGAGTTTTGTGTGTGTATGTTTCGAAGTATTGCTACCAATGGAAATTTCCTGTGACCGTTGCTGATTCCCGAATAGGTAGGCAGTCGAGGATATCAATAATTTTGGTTTTAGTTTAAAGAACTTAGTTTAGGATCCTCTTTCGCCTTTTTCTATCGTCTGTTGGTGTTGCTGCATTTATTCACTACGTCTTTCCGTAAAAATCGTATACGAGGATGATTGGAAGGACATCGCTGGTAGAACAAAAAAAACTTCAGTGGGCGAAAGAAAGGGGTAAGTAAACTAATAACCAATTACTTACAATTGCTAAGAAATTGATGACAAACAGAGTATTTAAATTCTGTATTTTGTAGGTCGATAGATAGAATTTTAGATAGATTTTTTAAAATTTCAGTCTCAAAATATTAATATTAATATTGTTGTATATTAAATTATATTTTAATTTTTTTTAAACAATATAACATTTATTTTAATTTTTTAAATATAAAATAAATGAAAATATCGATACATGAACAAATAATGTATGTATAGAATTATTTCTTTAATAATAATAAATAGAAAATTTATCAATATGTAAATAAATAAACACAAATAAATGAAGAATTAAAAATTTTTTAAAGTAAATCTTGATGCTCATAATGATATTTTTGCGTAAATTTCACTTTGACCGAATTAAAACCTTCGCTTTTTCGCTTATTTCTATTATTGTTTTGTACTTCGCTCATATATATAATATATATATATTAGACAAGGAAAACAAATGTTCTTTTTAATCGGCCTCTTAGCTAAAACATTTCCATACCAAAAAAACACTCCTAAACTTTTATCAAAAAATATTAAGATTTAGAGGTCGCTAATGATCGATTTTTAAATCAAAGTTTCGATTTTCCTTAATACAATACATGTTTGATTTGTCAAAATAGCTTATTCCGGATTTTAAACATGGTACTGTATGTTTTTTTAATCATTGAATGATGCAATAATTTATTTAGCTCTATGATATACGCCATAAGAAATATAAACCGATTAATGTAAAAAAATGACCATATTTCGAGTTCAAAGTTAATTTTAGCGAGGTTCCAAGCGTTCAAATGAGTCGTTATGCTTCTCTTGTAGATCTGTTCAGAACAAGATCTAGTTAAAATTTTCGTGGGATCTCCTACAGGGCTTTAAAAATTGCATTTAACTGGATTATAAAATATTTTTAAGGATAAAAAAAATTTTTTTACAAATTCTCAAATATATCACGTTGTGGTTTTGACATCCTCAAATCAAATGCCTTGACAATAAACAATTCTTTATTAGAAAATGAAATAAGTACATAATACAAAAAAAATAATTTAATTAAATATTTATATGTATATAGTAGATTAACAATTAAGCAAACAGACGTTTTGACATCTTTTTCATCAGATCCTCTTCAATATAATAAAATAAAATTAACACAACTATTTTACATTTCAAACTCTTCGTAAGATCGAGATTATATCGAGATTCCTATACTTCAAACATCTTCAATTGTCATAAATGAATTTATTCATAATCTCTTGTGGTGAACGTTAGTATATGTCAGTGTAATATCAACATGAAGTATCAAAACGTCTGAACATCCCAACTCCTAAGATCTTGTTATAAGATCTTCTTATATGACTTGTGTAGAATTTTTTATTTATTTGCTCCAAAGTAGAAATATGTAAATTTGCATCAAAAGTAGAAATATGTAAATTACTGATACGAAACATCTGTATGCATGTCTGCATAATTATCAGTCTACTATAAACAGATAAATATTATATACGAACAACAAGTGGCTGCTTTGCCGTTTTACAATTTGATTATTTGAATTTTATTCATTGGATCCTATTACATTGTGTTTAAACTTAATCAAATATTATATAATTTAATAAATAAAATACGCTCGTAAACTACATATTATGTAGTATATTTTTTTTATTATATATTTATTTCATATACTAATAAAGAGTTTTTTATTGTCAAATTGTGGCATTTGATTTGAGGATATCTCAAAACCACAAAGCAATATACTTTAGAACTTGTAAAAAAAATTTTCTATCCTTAAAAACGTTTTTAATCCAGTTAAGTGCAACTTTTGAAGGCTTTGTAGGAAAGGCTCCCAGAAAAATTTCAACTGGATCTTGTTCTGGGTGAACAGACCTACAATTTGAGGGAAGTAAAGACCCATTTAAACGCTTGAGACCTTGTTAAAATCGACGATTGAATTCGAAATTTTGTCATTTTTTCACATTAATTGAGCTGTATATCGTAGAGCTGAATAAATTATTGCATCGTGTTCAGCGATCAAAAGAACATACAGTACCACATTTAAAATTCAGATTAAGCCATTTTTGCATCAAATCAAATATGTATTAAAGAAAATCGAAACTTTGATTTAAAAATCGTTCACTAGCGTTCTCTAAATCTTAATATTTCTTGATAAAAATTTAGGAGTGTTCTTTTGGCTTGAAATGGAAGCTTTTCAGCTAAGAGGCAGATTAAAAAAGATGTTTTTTTCCTTGTCAGTGATGTATATGTAGGTGTGCACGCGTGCACGCGCGCGTGTGTGTGTGTGCGTATAATTTAAAAACTTGTTATATTTACTGCATAATTTATGAATTATTAATTAGATATTTGTGATGATTAAATACTATCTAAAATAAAATAATATTTATACGGGAAATATACATATTATTTCATTATATATTAAATTTAAAAAATATTAGGAAACTAGGGAAAATGAGAGACAGCGTGATACTGGTGCGCAAATTTAACATATAGTTAATAAAAATTAAATATAAATAAAGAAAGTATTTAAGAAAGGCTACGAGCCAATGAACAATTTTCAATATACGTTATTGTAACAAATGTTTCGACCTCTTTATCAGGTCATCCTCAGTGTTATTAATTTAAAATTTTATAAATCGCCAATCATAATTACACAAAAACAAGCCGTTGAACACATATTTAGAAGTTTGTGTAACATGTTCTTTCTTTGATTATTCCATTAGTTCGTGCATATAATGTATATTCTTATTATATGATTTGAGAAGTAATAAACAATGTAGATAGATTACACACTCCGTCCAAAATCATTTCTGATGACATCAAACGTTTGCTTAAAAATCTTTTAATTCAATTTTTAAACTATTTGTATCGCTGAGGATGGCCTTAAAATGTAATCAAAACGTTCGAGTTTTTAAAGCAAGTAAATATATTTATTAAAATTGAAAAACGTAGCTTAAATTATGAACAATAAATAAAAGAACAGAATAACCACACGCAAAATATTATTAGCGAAGCTAATAGCATATATTTAAAACATAATTATTAAAAAACAATAAAAACATAAACCTTTCAGCAAAGAAGTATTACAAATGATTAAGTAGTTAATGTACGCAGATCATACAATTAAATGTACGTAGACAGAGTTAAAACTAATGTCGATGGATTAATTCGTCAAGTTGAAATACTACGCAAAGTTAATATATTTTGTCTAATTAACGATTATCATGTTATCATAAAATTTCTATTAAAAATTCTTATGATTAAGATTAAATTAGAATAAAATTAAATCAAAAAGTGCTGATATGCCAGTGACTTTAGGCAAATATTGCGTTGTAAGAATAACGAGAGACAATTTTTGGTTGATAGAATTTTAACGTATGAATTTTCTGTATGTGTCACATTAGATGTGAACATATTTATATTTATGAAAAAGGCGGAGAGTAGAGAATAGGAGAAGCATTGTTTAAGGAAGAATGATGGCCCAAAATCAATAATAAATGTCCGGCAATCGTTCTGTGTTGCTTTGTTTGTTAATGTCGAATTGTTTCTTGATGTAAATCATTTCGAAGATTGATTTTTTGAAAAAAGACGGAATGGAGAATCAAAACGCTTCCTTAATCCAGTTAATCTAGTTATGATCATAATCTAATTGTAAGCCGTAAAACTGAATATAAATATATAGGTTTTTTTATATCTGCTTTATATTCTTTTAAGCGAATCTTAAGCTTTCTTTTAGTTTGTCTTACATAAGAAGCGTTGCAACCAAGGCAATTTATTCTATTATTAAATTCGTATGTTCATCCTTTTCTATATCTACCCGTTTTAAATCTATTTAAACAGTTGTTCGGTTTATAAGCAATTTTGAAACTGATTTTGTTGGAGACGGTTTTAAATTTTCCAGATACGTCATTGAAATAAGGAATTATGAAGTATCATCTTATGTCACTCTCAGAAGACTTATTTTTGTTGCTATCATATGCATTAATAAATAAAACAACACAAACGATTGCCGATATTTATTTACCGATTTTGGGCCATTACTTCCCCCTTCCCCCCTAAATAATCCTCCTACCGTCTACTTCCCATCCTCTTCACAAATATAAATATATCCACATCTAATGACACATATTACAGATGTTAAAATTTTATCAAGTAAAAATTGTCTCTCCTCGTTATTACATCTCTTACAACGCAATATTTGCCTAAAGTCACTAGTATGTCAGCACTTTTTGATTTAATTTCATTCTAATTTAATCTTAATCATAACAATTTTTAATAGAACTTAGAAATTCTGTGATAACATGGCAATCGTTAACTAGACCAAATACATGAGGATTAACTTTGTGTAGTATCTTAACTTGATGAATTAATCCATCGATATTGGCTTCAATTTTGTTTATATTTAATTGTATGTGATCTATAAGCATTAACTGTAACACGTTTCATTGTTTTGCATTGACTAAATTATAATAAATTCACATATTTTACTGAAAATGGCCATATCTTGACCGAAACGTTTATGGTTTTTTTTTCTATTATTTTTTAACAATTATGTTTTAGATATATGACTTTTGCTAACATCCTGCGTGTGGCTGTTCTGCTCTTAAATATATTTATGTAAATATATTTATTTATGTTTAATTTTTATTAATTGTATGCTGATTTTGTGCACCAAGTACCGCGTCATACTCTAATTTGCCTTATAGTTTCTCAATATTTTTTGAATTTCTGGAGTCCTTATTAAGTTATTTATTTTAATATTAAATTATTACAAATAATAGTATTTAATTATTACAATTTTTTATCAATTATAATTATAGAAGAAATGGCTCGTCTGGACGTTAATTGGGGAACTCTGAAGTCAAATATTTACAACCGCACTCACATTCTGTAAATATAATTACTAAAAATATTATATTATCGTTATAAATTAGAATTTTAATTAAATCTTAATCATTTTATACAGCGCAATAAAATAGATTATTCAAATATGTATATATATTTACAAAGAGAGTTCTTCATCATATTTTACTTAAAATTCGCTATAAATTTTATCATATTTAACTATAAACGTGGAACAATTTGGTAATCTATTAAATATTATCGTAAAGATAGGAATTTTTGAAATATACAAAAAAATTTTTATGAACTATTAATAAAAATGATCAAGCACATTATAAATTACTTTCATAAAAAATATTTACAAAACGCTTCATAAAATTTACACATTATATTTTAATACAAATCATTAGGGATAGGCAAACATAATCGATAAAACAATAATCGAGTATTTTGTTTTTTTGAAAAATGGATTAAGTGATGTTAAGTGGATGTTTGTGAATTCGATTTTTCTCTAAGTCGATAATCTTTTTTAATTTATTTTAAATATTTAATTTATCGATTTTGCTGAATAGATTGTACACGTGTTCACACTACACAGGATGCATTCAGATTCCCACCCAAGTCCCAAGTGCTTCCCAGGTATTACATCCTTGTTTAGCATTCACTGAGCAACAAAGATAAAATGAGTGGAATTCAAATGGGAATCTGAGCACAGCTTTGGTTGAAGTATATCTTTGTTACTCTACTGAATGCCATTGAAAAATAGAACTATACTTATGTCAACTTGTGACGCTAAATGAAAAACACTTTTTGATTGGTTGCGCCATTGTGTATGTAAATTAACTTGAGCCAATCAAAGAGTCTAGGCGATGACGATGGTCAGACTTCTGCTTCCTGGAACACTTTATTTATCAAAAAACTTCCCCAGAGGGATATTTCCCCTCTAGGGTATTACAAAAATATACGGCTAGGCCGCGCGCAAACTTAAATTAGTTATTGTGGGGGACAAAGGCCCCCCCCTCCCCGCGTGGGCATTACAATTAAAGGCTGGGAGCAAGCCTCCCAGCCTGCGCATTATGATAATGGTTATACCTCCCCAGGCTGACAGGCTGGGGAGGTATGTAATCGCAAAGTTGTGCGGCTCCTCCGAGATATCACAGATAAATTGTCAAAATATAAAAGGCTCGCAGGAGCACGTGCGGCGGTGAGTTACACATAATAAAATTAAGGATGTAAATCGTGACCACATTCACACTCGTTTAAAAAACATAGATTGATATACTTTCGGAAAATATTTTCAACAACACCGCGGTTGTTGAAGACTTTCTCTTGCAGGAAATGGTCGAGATGGTTAAAAAAGTGATAGTCAGTTGGCGAGAGATCTGGCGAATATGATGGGTCAGGCAGAGTTTCGTAGACTGATTCTTTCAGTTTTTGCAGCATCTTTGATGCAGCTCGAATTTGGGAAGTGTTGTGGAGCTTCGTCGCGGTCCAACCACTATGCTAAGCACCGCCGATTGTATAGAATCCATTTTTCACTGCATGTCACAATACGATCGAGAAGTGGGTCGTTGTTATTGAGCAAAAGAAGTGCAGAGCACACTTTATAACAACGGTTTTTTTTGTCATTCAATTTTTGATAAATTTACTCGTTACAATATTTAATTGACAAATATAAAATATGTTTTAAAAAATAATTAGGTAATTACACTTATAATTCTATACTACATATATTATTAATTAGCAAATATATATTCGTATGTGAGGGTGGGGAAGAGAATGAAGACAGATGTTTATTTATTTAATCTTTCGAAATTTTATTTCCATTATTATGGTGGTAGAAAGAGGATAAAAATTAAAGAAAAAGTGAACTGAGATACTTCGTAGTATTGAGGTGAAGAAAAGGAGTTCTTCTCAGGAAGAAGGGTATAAGAAAATCAACCTTAGAAATTATGGATCGGATTTCATCCAGATCATAGTCTGAATCGATCATGTAGACATTATTGGGAAGGATGGGAATCTGAGGAAATTAAGCGAGAATAATACATGCAGAGAATTAGAATTCCCCCAATGATAATAATATTTAGAAGGGAGGAGAAAAGCTTCATCGAGAAAAGATTCGATTAAAAAGGAAAAGGAAGTAGGAGAAGGAGGACGAATAAGTTCTGATGTCGAGAGTTGAGGTGTAAGGTGAGGTGAATCTAGGGATGTTTCTTCGGTTAGAACCGATGGGGGTGAGTTAAGTTGTACTGGAGAAGAGTAGTATAGATAAGGAGATAGAGGAGGAACTCATTTGGATTCGGAGGAAAGGGGGGCTGGTGGTAAAGAGAGACGGGATAATAAAGAGGAGAAGGAAAATTTGAAAAATAATCGCTTTATAACTCTACGTAATTAGTTAACATTAGACTCAGCCTGAGTTTTCTCTTATTATTTGCATTCTCGGCGGTTTCGGCGATATTTCGCGAAAACTTTTGATTTTTTTTTTTATATTATAATAGGGACAAGATTCATTAAAATTTCCTATTTCGTGAATAAAATAACCGACTAAACAAAAGGAAGGGAGGGGGAGATAATAACGTGATATTAATAATTCATGCAGATCATGCTGATGCATCTATCCGCCAATGTCGATCGAATAACTCAAATTAGCAAGAATGCTATGAGTCAAATCAATTTCGATTGGGTAATCCAAAATGGCTAATTATATCGAAGGAACTCTAACACATAATGCAAATAATTTTAAATTCGGAGATTGTTGTTTGGAAAAAGAAAAAAGAAAAAATAAGAACAAATGAACAAGGAACTTAGATTTAGTGAGTTGACTTAGAGACTTAGACTTACTTGTTGAGAGTGAGCATAAGAATGAGCCAATTATCTTGATAGTAGACTTTGCCGGGTTGGTCCTCAGTGATTGAAAACGGTTTCAGCTGGACATCTCGTGGATGTTCGGAACCAGGACTCAACCGGACGAGACCTTGGAAAGATATAAGAACACCATCGCGCTAGAGTTCGATCGAATGAGTCAACCGCACCAAGTCAACAAGAATTGACTAAGATCTCTTAATGAACTGGAATCAGCAAAGTGTCGATTAACTAGCCAAACTTTGACTGATTGCACGTTCGCAAAGGGCTCCTTTTTATATTCGAGAAAAAAGAAAATTATGCCGGATGGAAGTCCCGCATATGTTAATGATCTAATTTAGGATTAGGATCGGTGTCACTTGTGATCTAAATTTTGGTCCCCTTAACTATTAAACGACATTAGTCATTTTTTCCAAAAATGTATTATTCTCGAAATATTTTGTGTCAAAGTTAAAATGGTCAAATATGTTTTGTACCAAATTAGGTACAGAATCTACAGAATCTTAAGATTTGACTATCTAGGATATCTATTTCAAACCGGATCTTTCGACTGGTAGCGTTATTTTCTTGATAATATTGAAATTGATTTAATATGGGAATGTCCGAAATGTCATAAATTACATATCTTAAATTTAACAAAGAATTTATATTGTATTATTCGAACATCTAACTTTGACCGTTTATTGATGTTCTCTGTTGTATTTATGTATTCACGGTCGTTTTTAGTGTTTAAGCAATTTTTGTCTCTTTTTTTTGTAAAATTGATAGTACTTGAGTAAAAAATTATTAAAAAGCAATATATTCGGCGATTTTTAGTAATTAATATCTTATTAACTATTACGAAAATTGCAAAATATAGTAGAGGACTTTTCGATTCAGTTTAATCCGCTTTACCAATACACGAAATATTTGGCTTATTGTTGGTTATTCTGGGACACCCTATATATATGTATTGGGTTATTTTTTATATAAGAAACTGAATTATGTTGCATTCATCTAACGGCGGTTACACGTACTATTTGCTAGTGAGCGACTTTAGTGTTGTTTTAATTTTAAAGATAATGATATAATAATAATCAATTACCATGCTGCATGGTAAAATCTTCATAAACAACTAAGTTAGGTTGAAAATATCATAATGTATTGTAAAGTTTATGTAAAATTTATATAAGATATTTTATATATTTATCACTACTTGGCATTTTATTTATTATAAAATAATAAAGAATTACAAACTGTTTAACGTAATTTAAAATCATTTAAATTTATTATGTTTTTTAATAAAAATAAATTAAACTCATTTTATATTTTAGTGTGAAAATATCAATATACCAGAGAGAATCACATAAAATTCTTTGAAATATCATATTGTCCTATTATTATTACGATTTTCAAGGTAAATTTCAAGAAAAAATTCTTTCCATGAACATATTAAACAATAATTCTCAAAAATCATGTACTTTGTTAACATAAAAAGCATTAAAATTTTCAATTGTCGATGGACTTAAAACAAAAAATCTCTGTTGTAGCACTTACTCGAACGAAGCCAGATTGCCCTTAGGGGAATTAAAAGATAGATCTCCCGTACAACCCTTCCGTACAGCCGGACATTACGGGAGCACCATCAGTCTAAAAAGTCTAACGACGGAAAGTTCTGGGAATGGCAATAACAATCTCAAATTTGATTATAACGGTGGCAGTTTAATTAATCGTCGAGACCAGGTGGAGACCTCACAAGTCAGACACAGAAGTCCCAGTCTGCCTCCAATCTTCAATAAGGAACAACAACAGTATTTCTGCCAGCCAGTATGTATTTTATCACTTTTTTAAATTTATGTATATATTGTTACGTCCGGCGGACTCACGCGACTCTTTTCTTTCATA